CGTTAGCATTTGGCTATAATTACTAGCTTTTGCATCGTATGCTATCAGACAAACACACTTAGAGACACAGTCGACGCGTTTGACGTTAGCATTTGGCTATAATTACTAGCTTTAGCATCGTATGCTATCATATCCATCCATCCATCCATCAATTTTTCACAGCTAATCCGTGTTGCGTTCAGGGCCCGTTGAGAGAAAAAACATCTTGGTGGCTCAGACGATGCTGCGTTTAAAGACCGTAAAGACCATCGTAACAAACTGGAGCCCAAACGGTTTTGAACTAATCGAGAAAACCTGCGACTGAAGGCCTAAAACTCAGCGACTTGTTCTGTTAGCATTTGGCTATAATTTCTAGCTTTAGCATCACATGCTATCACATCCATCCATTTTCCATCCATCCATCCATCCATTATCCATTATTCATTATCCATCCTTATCCGTGTTGCGTTCAGGGCCCGTGGAGACAATGCTGCGTTTAAAGACCGTTGTAACAAACTGGAGCCCAAACGGTTTCAAAGTAATCGAGAAAACGTGCGACTGAAAGACTAAGATCAGCGCATTGTGCCGTTAGCATTTGGCTATAATTACGAGCTTTAGCATCACATGCTATCACATCCATCCATTTTCCATCCATTTTCCATCCATCCATTTTCCACTGTTTATCCGTGTTGCGTTCAGGGCCCGTGGGGAGAAAAAACAACTGGGTCACTCAGACGATGCTATGTTTAAAGACCGTCGTAACAAACTGGAGCCCAAAACGTTATGAACTAATCGAGAAAACGCGCGACTGAAGGGCTAAAACTCAGTGTATTGTACTGTTAGCATTTGGCTATAATTTCTAGCTTTAGCATCACATGCTATCACATCCATCCATTTTCCATCCATCCATTTTCCACTGCTTATCCATGTTGCGTTCAGGGCCCGTGGAGAGAAATAACAACTTGGTCGCTCAGACGATGCTGCATTTAAAGATTCTCGTAACAAACTCTCTTATCCACTTCTTATCCGGAAAATGGATGGATGGATGTGATAGCATACGATGCTAAAGTGAGTCATTATAGCCAATTGTTTGCTATCACATGATCTATGTAGATTACTGATTGTTTTATTTTCTTACATAACTATATTTTCTGTTGAAGTCTCTGGCTGTGTCCACAGACTATCTCCTCTCTCTTTTCGTTTCCTTCTATTCTTTAAGTCAACACACCATTTGGTACCACATTCCTGTCATCTGCATGAATTAGGACCTGGCCTGTTCCTGCCCAGAGGTAACTGGCCAATAGGACTTGGTTGTGTCCAGTCCTCCTTTGAGGAGGCGGATCGAGCCCAGGAGATAATGCCCATCACCCAGATCTCAGGGCTGATATACTTTGCCTGTGACCTAATAAATGTCATTTTTATACTTTTGATCCACTCTGGTTTATTTTCCGGTTTCCAACTAAAGAATCGGGTTAACAGTGTCACCAACCAGGAACATTACGGGCTTTGGGGGAGTAGAAATAGAAATATGTCGGAACTATGTCAGAAATATGTGAGTGTTTTGGGTTTACTTTTTACATTTGTATTGTTGTTACTCTCACTTGAAGAAAAACCCCAAACTTAAATTGCCAGAAACCGGAAACTGTTCTGGTTGACGCTGGAAAAACCTGCTGGACATGTTCTGGGAGGCATTTTTAAGCAGCATAGAGCAGAATAAAAAAAGATCCTCCACCTAAAAGCTCCTCAGTGGGAAAACATTAGTGTGCACTGGCCCTTTAAAGTTAAGATCCAGGCCTCCATTCAAGTCCAGATAACTAAAAGACCTCCGTTTATTCGGGGACACAAACACACGGGGGGGGGTTTCTGGGGTGGAAAAGACGCCCTCTACCGGCGACCCACCGCACGACTAGAAGAACCACCTGAAAGCGAGTTTGAGTCGGATTTGAACAACATTTGTTTTGTTTTTTTTAAAAGGTAAGAACCATCCAACCGACCGGGCTTTGCTCGCCAATTTTACCCGGAATTCGCGTCAATTTGTCGGCCAACGAGCCCAGAAACGCCCCCCCGGTGTCTCCTCACCTCCGGAGCTCCGTCTCAGTTTTTTTCTAATTACGACACATTTAAGCAAACCAAACGTTTACCTCCGTCCTTTTCCCGCCACTCTATCTCCCCGAAAAATAAATAAATCAATTAACGGATAAGAGTGACAGCAGGGAACGCGCGCGTGCGCGTGCGCGCAGGTGGCATGTCGTGCGCGTGAGGACGTACCTTCGTCGTGGTGGAAGGGCAGCTTGAGCGGGTTTTCCAGGAGAGACTTCAGGACGCCGTGCGTCGGCGGGAGGAAAGTCGCGTTTATGGGCAGAGGTCTGGCCATTTTCTCCATATATCTCGACGCTCAACCGGAGAAAAAAAAAATCTAAAATATTTTAGAAAATAATCTAAATAATAATAATAACAAAAAATGTTCCCACTCCGGAATAATGATAATTTTTTTTAAAAAAAGAAAAGGATTCGACGAGACGGGTAATACAAAATAAAATAAAAAATAAAAAAAGAAGAGGATATTCGACGAGATTGGAGTCGCTTGTTTATCCGGGCGCGTGCAGTCGGTCCGCGCGCGCGCGAGGGGAGATCAGCTGGACGAGACGCGTCTCGCGCGGCTGCAGGTCTGTCTGTGGTCGGGACTGACTGGCAAATAGCTGCAGGAGGAGAGGAAGAGGAGGAGGAGGGAGGAGGAAGAGGAGGGAGGAGAGGAAGAGGAGGAGGGCGGAGGGAGGGATGGATGGAGGAGGGAGGGAGGGAGGAGAGAGGGAGGGAGCTGCTCCACTCCTCCATCCATGTGCATCTGACGTCAAAGCACCGGGGCCGTGTTGCGTTCAGGGCCCCGTGCAGAGAAAAAACAACTCGGTCGCTCAGACGATGCTGCGTTTAAAGACCGTCGGAAAAAACTGGAGCCCAAAGGGTTTCAAACTAATCGAGAAAACGCGCGACTGAAGGCCTAAAACTCAGCGTATTGTGCTGTTAGCATTTGGCTATAATTACTAGCTTTAACATTGCATGCTACCACATCCATCCATCCATCCATCCATCCATCCATCCATCCATCCATCCATTTTCCACAGCTTATCCGTGTTGCATTCAGGGCCCGTGGAGAGAAAAAACAAATTGGTCGCTCAGAAGATGCTGCGTTTAAAGGGCCCAAAGGGTTTCAAACTAATCGAGAAGGCCTAAAACGCAGCGTATTGTGCTGTTAGCATTTGGCTATAATTACTAGCTTTAGCATTGCATGATATCACATCCATCCATCCATCTATCTATTTATCCTTTTCCATCCATCTATCCATTTTCCATCCATCCATTTTCCACTGCTTATCCATGTTGCGTTCAGGGCCCGTGCAGAGAAAAAACAACTCGTTCGCTCAGACGATGCTGCGTTCAAAGACCGTCGGAACAAGATGGAGCCCAAAGGGCGCATTGTGCTGTAAGCATTTGGCTATAATTATTAGCTTTAGCATTGCATGATATCACATCCATCCATTTTCCATCCATCCATTTTCCACAGCTTATCCGTGTTGCATTCAGGGCCCGTGGAGAGAAAAAACAAATTGGTCGCTCAGAAGATGCTGCGTTTAAAGGGCCCAAAGGGTTTCAAACTAATCGAGAAGGCCTAAAACGCAGCGTATTGTGCTGTTAGCATTTGGCTGTAATTACTAGCTTTAGCATTGTATGATATCACATCCATCCATCTATCCATTCATCCTTTTCCATCCATCTATCCATTTTCCATCCATCCATTTTCCACTGCTTATCCATGTTGCGTTCAGGGCCCGTGCAGAGAAAAAACAACTCGGTCGCTCAGACTATGCTGCGTTCAAAGACCGTCGGAACAAACTGGAACCCAAAGGGCGCATTGTGCTGTTAGCATTTGGCTATAATTACTAGATTTAGCATTGCATGCTATCTCATCCATCCTTTTCCATCCATCCATTTTCCACTGCTTATCCGTGTTGCGTTCAGGGCCCGTGCAGAGAAATAACAAAGCAACCTCCCATATGGTCTAGCGGTTAGGATTCCTGGTTTTCACCCAGGCGGCCCGGGTTCGACTCCCGGTATGGGAACTAGTCTTTTATTGGATCCTGTTCTTGTCTAAAGCTGTATGCAAGGAAATTTCGTTTTGTGTGCACTCCGTACACACAAAATGACAGTAAAGTTGTCTATGTCTATGTCTATTGTGCTGTTAGCATTTGGCTATAATTACTAGCTTTAGCATTGCATGCTATCACCTCCATCCATCCATCCTTTTCCATCCATCCATCCTTTTCCATCCATCCATTTTCCAATGCTTATCCGTGTTGCGTTCAAGGCCCGTGCAGAGAAAAAACAACTTGGTCGCTCAGACTATGCTGCGTTTAAAGACCGTCGGAACAAACTGGAGCCCAAAGGGCGCATTGTGCTGTTAGCATTTGGCTATAATTATTAGCTTTAGCATTGCATGATATCACATCCATCCATCCTTACATTTTCCATCCATCCATTTTCCACAGCTTATCCGTGTTGCATTCAGGGCCCGTGGAGAGAAAAAACAAATTGGTCGCTCAGAAGATGCTGCGTTTAAAGGGCCCAAAGGGTTTCAAACTAATCGAGAAGGCCTAAAACGCAGCGTATTGTGCTGTTAGCATTTGGCTATAATTATTATGTTTAGCATTGCATATCACATCCATCCATTTTCCAACCATCTATCCATTTTCCATCCATCTATCCATTTTCCACTGCTTATCCGTGTTGCGTTCAGGGCTCGTGCAGAGAAAATATAACTCGGTCGCTCAGACGATGCTGCGTTTAACGACTGTCTAAACAAACTGGAGACAAAAAAAGGACCTCCCATATGGTCTAGCGGTTAGGATTCCTGGTTTTCACCCAGGCGGCCCGGGTTCGACTCCCGGTATGGGAATAAGTCTTTTATTGGATCCTGTTCTTGTCTAAACCTGTGTGCAATGAAATTTCGTTTTGTGTGCACTCCGTACACACAAAATGACAGTAAAGTTGTCTATGTCTATGTCTATTATGCTGTTAGCATTTGGCTATAATTTCCTGCTGCCCCTGTGTTCCTGCTCTGTTGCCGTCATAACTTCTACCATCATCATTAGCATTAATATCATAGCTATTTTTCATCTAGTCTACGTGTTGCTGTGTTGGCTGCCTCTCTCTGCTCCCTCTCTCTCTCTCTGCTCCCTCTCTCTCTCTCTTGCCCTCTCTGTCTCTCTCCCCCAACCGGCCGAGGCAGATGCCCCCCCACCCTGAGCCATGGTTCTGCTCCAGGTTTTCTGCCTGTTAAAAGGAAGTTTTTCCTTGCCTGTGTCGCCTAGTGCTTGCTCATGGTGGGAATTGTTGGGTTTCTGTAATTAACTTCAGAGTAGGGTCTGAGTTTCTCTGTTTGGAAAGCTGTGAGACAACTGCTGTTGTGATGTGGCGCTATATAAATAAAATTGAATTGAATTGAATAATTACTAGCTTTAGCATTGCATGCTATCACATCCATCTATCCATTTTCCATCCATCCATTTTCCACTGCTTATCCGTGTTGCGTTCATGCCCCGTGGAGAGAAAGAATAACTCGGTCTCTCAGACGATGCTGCGTTTAAAGACCGTCGTAACAAACCGGAGCCCAAAGGGGTTTTGAACTAATCGAGAAAAAGCAAAAACTGAAGGCCTAAAACTCAGGAAAAGGCACTTGTTGAAACACCCCTATGGATAATCAGGTTACTGGTGATACAGACTATAAATAATATATAAATAAAAATACAGACTATAAATCCTTGTGGTATTTTTTAAAACTAATAAACATTGACCCCTTTGGAAAATTAGGTTGCTGGTGATTTAATGTATAAAAAAATACAGATTATGAATCTTTGTGGTAATGTATTGTTCTTGAAAATTCTCCCACAAATACGAAAACTTTAATTTTGTACTTAAACACAATTAAAATAAAAAGAAGAAAAACCATGAAGTAGTTCCAGGACCTATAAATTTGGTTTTCATTCAACAGGCTGTTTCTATTTATACGTCCTGTTGCTATTTATGCAAATAATTCTTGGCCACAAATGCCAGCGGTGATCTTTTCCCACATGAAACACAACCATTCCCACAAAAATCTCTGCTTATTTTTCGTAACTTTGCCCACAAAATATGAGAAAATCAGCCACCGGCCCTTTTTAGTGGCTTTACTAGGCGTTGCTTATAGAAACATTAATCACACAATGTCAGAATTTAGCCACCGTCATCTTTTTAATTTAGATTAAATTGGTTTTTGGGGTAAAAATGTCCCAAACAAAACCGTTCTCACGCTTTGGATTCTTGAGCCTTTGTTTTAGACTTAAAGCATATTTTTCTTTTTCACTGAGATCAAAACTAGAGACCAAAATATTGGTAACTTGACCCATTTATTCAATAGGCTTTTGGAGCAAAAAAACCTGTTTCCAGACGATTTCCTTGGTGCATAACCCAAATAAAAGTCATTTTTTTAAATCATTTGTGGACGACCCCCCGCTGGTTCTCTGTGTGTGGAGTCTGAATGCTCTCCCCGTGCATGTGGGGCTTCTTTCAGGATACAAAAACCTGCATGCTGGGTCAATTAGAGACTCCAAATTGCCTGAAAAAACGCATGTGAGTGTGTTTGTGTGTGTGTTACGTGATGACCTGTCCAGGATGTAACCCCCCCCCCACACACACACTGGAAAATGAGCATAAGATATCCAGAGTCATGGAAGTATGTCAGTAAAAGCTATCAAAAGTTGTTGATCTTTTAGGCCTTTGGGCAACATTGCATCTTAAAAAGATAACACAAGCTTGACGAACACCTTCAAATCAAAGCTCAAATTAATGAGGTGGGAATATATTTTTAGGCTAAGTGTGACAACAGATTGTCATGATGCTAATCTTTGATAGCAAACATTTCTAGTCTCAAGATTGTGTTTTTAACTAATAATCCAAAGTGGCACAGAGACAGTTCCTCCATTCTGAGAAAGGGAAACTCAGAAATGGACTAATGTTGATGTCAAACTTCCGTAGACCATAAAAATTAGAAGTTTGGGGGTAAAACTGAACCGAGACGCCAGATTTAAAAAGGTTTGAACAAAAGAAAATGTGGCAAAAGAAAAAAAGAGCAGATGTGGCAGCAGACACAGAAACCAAGAGGATGCAAAACCAGCCAGAAACAAAGGGAGCACACAAAAATGAGCCAGAAAACGAGATTAACCAGAAGACAAAATGAAAACTATCCCTAATCAGAGCCCAACGGGACATGCAATGCATCAAAAAACACAAATAAAAGCATCTGGAAGCTGGAAATCCTCCTCCAGACCGGGTTCCTGAACCCCTCAGAGA